GTGTCTTCCCACATTGCTGGCTGACTCACGTAATAAGTAATCTTCCACCACTGATAGATACTGAGGTGTGTTTGAGCTTTTTTCCCACTAAAACCACGCGGCAGCTAATATCCTTCAACATATATATGTGTTTGCATCCTGGGGCTCTTACAGTTATTTTAGATTCCTCAAGAGGAATTGGTAGGTCAAAGGGACGTGTATCTCTATTTCTGTTTCCCCTAGACATTGGGAAAACAGTGTCACACTGTAGTTTTTGTTTGGTTTGGTTGGTTTTTTTTTTTAAAGATTTTATTTCTCAGTCATCTCTCCCGGCAATGTGGGGCTTGAACTCCAAGATCAAGAGTTGTTCGCTCCTCTGACCCAGCCCGCCAGGCGCCCCTGTCACACTGCAGTTTGAATCAGCGTTTCCTGATGATCAGGGATACGTGTATCTTTTCCTCCCCATGGGCTGACATTTCAGCTCGCAGGTCAAAAGGGACTGGCCTGAGAATAGTAGCCCTTCGAGTATTTCTTTCCCTTGGATGACATCAGTACCAAACAAAAGTCATGCGTCATGATCTATGAGGTGTTTCATCCTGTGTCCTTCCCATTTGCACAAAGGAATACATCAAATAGTTCTCTGGAAAACAAGCCAAGTGTAAGTGTCGTGGGCAGAATCCCCCCAGGGATGTCCATGCTCCAGCCCCAGCACCTGTGACTCAAAGTCCCCAAAAGGGACTTGGCAGAGGTGATCGGCACCACAGACCCCGAGAGGGGACACTGTCCGGGGAAGCCCAGTCTAATCACAGGAGTCCCACGAAGGGGAGAACTGGCGGTGGGCAGGCAAGATGTGGGCCGGCGGGAGAGGGGTGAGCGCCCCATGGAAGGAGGCAGAGCCACCAGCGGGGGCAAATGGTGCCCCCAGGAGCCCGGAAAGGGGACAAAACGGACCCTCTCCCAGAGCCTCCAGGAAAGGCCGAATCAAGCCCAGCAAGACACCTGGCCCCACAAACATAAGGTAATAAATGTGTTTTGTTTTGAGCCACTAAGCTAGAAGTCATTTGTTACAGCCTCAGGATGAGCACAATATGTGACATCATAAAGCTCTTTCCAGAGAATATATTCAGCCCCATCTTTAAGAGGGTAACCTATTCTTTTTTTATTTTTTTATTTTTTTAAAGATTTTATTTATTTGACAGAGAGAGAGAAGGAACACAAGCAGGGGGAGTGGGAGAGGGAGAAGCAGACCTCCCGCTGAGCGGGGAGCCCGATGCGGGGCTCGATCCCAGGACCCTGGGATCCTGACCTGAGCCGAAGGCAGACGCTTAACGTCTGAGCCGCCCAGGCGCCCCGTAACCTATTCTTTTTAACAAGATTTTATTTACTAATTATTTGAGAGAGAGAGAGAGATTGAGAGAACGAGTGGGGGGAGGGGCAGAGGGAGAAGCAGACTCCCCGCTGAGCAGGGAGCCTGATGAGACACTGGAGACTCATCCCAGGATCCCGGGATCATGACCCGAGCCGAAGGCAGACGCTTCACCGACCGAGCCACCCAGGCGTCCGAGGATAGTCTATTCTAAGTTTAGCATAATGACCAATGAAACAAGGCAACTGCATTTCCAAATACCTGAAAAGCTCATCCTGGTTTCCATTTATGCTGTGTATGCAGGATCTGGAGGAGACAGTGAATTCTTTGAGGTATAACCAGAACAAACACTCTATGGTCAATTGACAATCCTTCTTCAGGAATCTGACTTGGAATGGATTTTTAAAATTTCCCCTCGTATTTCATTAAGTCCAATAAAGATACATAAATTTAGAATCAAAGAATTTTAAAATAGACAGGAACCTTGCTGGGTTCAAATCCAGACTCTTCGGCCTGAAGTTAGGTATCCTGTACTTTGCCATACTGGCCCACCACAGTAATGAAGTTTACAATGTGTACGTGTACTAAGCAAATTCTGTGGCATAATTTTTTTATTCACTTAACAAATATTTATTTAACACCTCTTATGTGCTGGGCCCCATTCTCAGTGTTGGTGATAATTAGGGAGTAGTGGACAAAAATCCCTGACCTCAGTGGAGCGGACATTCCAGAGAAAATAGATAAATAATAAACAGCAAACAAAATACATACATACATGATGTAGCTCATCAGCTCATCAGAGGGCTGTAGGTGTCATGGGCGGGGGGAAGAGGGGGTCAGGGAGCTTGGAGTATGAGGTAGGGGGTACAATTTTTAACAGGGTCATTGCAAAGGCATCATTGGATCAAAGTCTTGAAGGAAGTGAGGGACAAGCTCCACAGATCTCTGGGGAGAGAGCATTCAGACAGGAACAGCCAGTGCAAAGGCCCTGAGGTGGAATGGGGCTGGCTGGGAGTAAGTGGAGGGAAGGGCACTGGAAAATGAGACCCTGGAGGTATTGGGGATGGTCAGATGGTGCAGGGCCTCCCAGGCCACTGTGAGGACTCTGGCTTCTACTCCAAGTGAGTCAATAATTTATATGTAACAATTATAAACTGTCCCATGAATTTGCGCAGCCTGTTACCCATGTATTGTATGTAAGACTGTTGACTTAAACTTCAGTGTACTGAAGAATCAAACATGCTGCAAGCTACCGTTTCTAACGGAGGAGTGAGTCACGGAAAATAAAACCAGCGGTCTAGAGGAAATTTCTAGGCTACACAGAAGAAAGTTGGAGACAATGTGCTCGGCTGTATTATATTGCCCTTACTGTGAGTTTGTGGCCTCTAGGGTTCCTACCTTGATTTCAGGAGGCGCTGAGTTCTGTTCTAGCTCTACGAAGGCACCTCTCACTCCCTGGGGACTAAGTGGATGATGGATTCACTCACATCCGGTCAGCCAGAGACATATGGGTGGGGAGGAAGGATACCAAGATCAGCAGTCAGCAAAGTTGTCCTACTCATTCTTTCATTCATTACTTGTAACATTCCTTGAAAAGGGCCACATGATACAGCATAGATGCCCTATCCAACAGGGGCTAAATTCCTGATTTTAGTAAACGACTGTATTAGCTTTCTACTGTTGCCAGGACAAATTATAAAAAATTTAGCAGCTTTAGGGCGCCTGGGTGGCTCAGTTGGTTAGGCGACTGCTTTCGGCTCGGGTCATGATCCTGGAGTCCCTGGATTGAGTCCCACATCGGGCTCCCTGCTCGGCGGGGGGTCTGCTTCTCCCTCTGACCCTCCCCCCTCTCATGTGCTCTCTCTCTCATTCTCTCTCTCAAATAAATAAAATCTTTAAAAAAAAATTTAGCAGCTTTAAACAATAGGTATTTATTGGCTTGCAGTTCTGGGGGTCAGAGGTCTGGGTTGGGTTCTCTGCTTTGGGGTTCAGAAGGCTGAAATCAAAGTGTCAGTGGTCGGCTGTCACTGGGAGGCACCGGGAAGAATCTGCTCCCAAGCTCAAGCAGGGTGTTGGCAGAGCACAGATCCTTGTGGCTCAAGACTGAAGTCCCCATCTGCTTGCTGGCGGTCAGGTGGCAGTTGGCGTCCACCTGCTTAGCTCCTAGAAGTCTGTCTTCAGTCCTTGCACATGGACCCTGCCTTTCAGAGCCAGTGATGGGGCACTGACTCCTTCCCACGGTTGGGGTCCCTCTGTCGTCCCCTCTGCCACATCTCCTCCCCCTGCTGGAGAAAAGCCCTCTGCTTGTGAGGGGTCAGGCGGTTCAACTGGGCCCACCCCCATAGTCCGGGAAAGTCCATCACCTGTCACCATGAGGGGCAATGGCCACACTGCACGAGTATGTATGTGACAGGGACAACAGTGACAAAGTGCGTGTTAGGACCCACACTTCATTCTCTCCCTGGCTGGGGAAGAAAGCTCCGGTGACAATTCAACGTCATCCAGTTGCTGCCCGCGCTATGTGTTCGGGAATAACTGAGGCGGGGGGGGGGGGGGGGGGGGGAGGAGACGCCCTCCAGGGCGGGCGGGCACGCACTGCAGAGAGCGCTTAGCCAGCCCCCTCCCGTGCCTGAGAGAGCAGAGCTGGCCCACCTGCAGCACCCAGCAGGAGGGGGACCCGGAGGCTCTGGGACCTGCAGGGCGTGAGACGTGGAGCATGGGAAACTACACAAAGAGGATTTTAAAAGTGATGCTGTGGTCATCCTTTCATGTTCTTCGGGATGCCGTGATCAGGACTGACCGTGGGTCTGCCCGTGGCCGGGGCACCGCGCACGCTGCCCGCTCGGATGCCATACTCAGGCTCCAGGGGCACTCGTGGCTGACATCAGCAGGTTTCCAGGGAGGAAGTGCGTTCCAGAAGGGCCTCCGTCAGGGCCATTCGGTGCCCTGGTCTGTGCGCATCACCGCCCCACGCAGCCCGAAGTGGGGTTCCACTCGTCCTGGAGGAGAGCCCCTCCGCGGTGCGTGTGTCCAAAGCTGCACGCAGCCGTTTCCACAGCCTGGCGGAAATGCTCACTAAATGTTCACGATCTTTAAAAACAAATGAGCGCGGAAGAACAAAAACCAAGCAAATCAAGAAGGGACAAAAGGCACATCTGGTTGACCAACTCCGCCGGCCCCCAGGCCCCTGCCCCGCCCGGCCCGCAGGCCCCCGCAGGCCCCCTGCCCGGCCGACCCCCGCAGGCTCCCGCCCGGCCCGCAGGCCCCCGCAGGCCCCCCTGCCCCGCCCGGCCCCCGCGGCCCCAGCGCTTCCTCCTCTCTCAGGCCCGGACCTCCCCCCAGGCCCCGCCCCTCCCCGCCGAGCCCCGCCCCTCCCCACCCCGCAGGCCCCGCCTTCCCCCGCCGAGCCCCGCCCCCTCCGCACCCCGCAGGCCCCGCCTTCCCTCCAGGCCCCGCCCCCTCCCCACCCCGCAGGCCCCGCCTTCCCCCAGGCCCCGCCCCTCGCGGCCGGCCCCGCCCCTCCGGCCGCGGCCCGACCGCGAGAGCGCCCGCAGGCTGCGGGGGCCGGGGCGCGGCGCGGCCGGGCATGCGCAGAGCGCGCCGGCGCGGTTGCCGTGGCAGCGCCGGCGGGGGGGAGGGCGCGGCGCGGAGCCGGCGGCTGGCGGGCTGGGGCGGCGCGGCCCCGGAGCGTCCGCGGCGGCCGGAGGCGGCGTCGGGCAGGCCTGAGCGGCGGGGCGCGGCGCCCGGGCCCCCGGGGATGCGGGACCGGCTGCCGGACCTGAGGGCGGTGAGCGGCGGGCAGGCGGCGGATAGCGGTCCGGGCCGGGCGCGGGGGCGCGGGGGCGCGGGGGCCGCTGTCTCCGCCGGGCCCTGGACGCTCCCGCAGCGGAGGGGCCGGAGCGCTTGTTCCTCGCGGGCGGATGGGGAAACCGAGTCAGCGGGAGCGCGGCGTGCCGGGCCGCGAAGCCCCTCGTCGGGGCCGCGCGCTGCTGGCCGGGCCGAAGCGCCCCGTGGCATCGCCCCGCCCGGTCGTCGGCGCCGCGCTGCGGACACGCCGGCCCCGGCGGGCTGCGCTGTGGTCGGGCCCCCCGGGGGCGCGGCCGCGCCCGCGGGAGGCGCCCGGTGGCCCGGGCCGCCGGGGCGGAGGGCAGGGCGGCCGCCGAGCCGTGGGCGCGTCTGCCCCGCGACCCTTCGCTGAGCGGGAGGGGAGCTCCGTCCGAACCGCGCGAGCTCTGGTGCGCCGCGCGGGGGCCGGGGTGTTGGCAGCATGAGGGAGAGTTGAGCTCTTCGAGGCCCGCAGCTGCTTGCGGCCTTTTCCTCTAGGAAGGCAGGTAGTCGGTGCTGCGGTCCTGTGACCCGCGGCGCGGGGAGAGCCGGGCCGCCTCGGAGCATCCGTTGCAGGCGGTGCTGGCTGAGCTTGCCTCCGGTGCTTGCAGAGCGCACCTGGTTACAGGCCGTGCTTGGGGAAGTGGAGGGAACGGGCCCTTTAGTCACTACTGATGTTCTGCTTCCGACGGCGAGGGAGGCTCTCCCTTGGGATCATAGCAGTTGTGCTTTGCAGACTCACTCCGAGAGCCTTTCTTTCTCCACAGTGGTTTTTTCCTTTCCTCTTCGTTAATGGCCGAATATTCTGATCTCTGCAGTTGAGTGTCATGTTAAACGGAGCGAATCTCACCCCGTAGAATGTCTAAATGTCTTTCTGTGCCACGAGGAGCTCAAATATTTGTTGGGCGAAGAAATGCTGAATGCATCTGAACAGGGGAACTGTAACTTAGCAAACAAAAGACCTCCGAGTAGATGCAATATTGGGGAATAGTAAGAGATCTGTCAGTGGACTACATAAGCTGCTTTTCTTGGCTTGATTAGCAAAAAATAAATCGGGCAGTTATTTACTACTGTTGAAGCTCATGTATACTCCAGCTCTCTCTGCTGCAGCATGAAGGACGCGTGACCTGTCTTGATCTAGAATTTCAGAGCTAGAAGTGGCCTTCGCAAGTCCAGTACCATCCTGCTCTAGATAAAGACACTGAGCAATTGTAGAGCAGACTGCTGGGAGTTTCTACTGGTGGGGCTGTCTAATCTTGGGCAAATTATTTTTAAAACTCTCAAAACCTTAATTTTCCTGTACATAAATTGGGGATAATAATATCTGTCTTGCTTACTCATAGAGGGAATTGTGAAACATGAAATTATCACCTGTGTGTGACACTCTGGGAGGAGGTGGGAGAAAATGCCATGTAATTATAAGTGCTATTAATATTTATTAGCTTTTTAATGCTTGCAGGAAGTTATAAAAAGCAGTCTTCTATCTAGTGTAAAATATTAATTTAAAATTGAATTTGACATATTTAAAGCTTAATAACTTAATATTTAAAAGCTCATCTGAAAATTATTCGATATGAAAGTCAAACTTTTATTTTTCCTTAAGGAAGTGTATCCTTTCCAAGTAGTTCTTGGAGTAGTTGAATATATCTATTCATGACAATGTTTCTAAGCTGCTGTTTTTTTTCCTAGGTGAATTCTAATTTGGTAGTTAACATGCCTCATCAACAACATCCAGCCTGGCAAAACAGTTGTTTTTGGAGACCTCCAAAAAGTTTCCTTTATTAGCTGTTAGTGCTTTCTCCTGAGAAGAAGATTATCACTGATAGGGTACCCCTTGGAAAAGACCTAAATATTAGTGTGTACAATTTGTCAGATTCAGATTTAGCTGCTTCTAACCAATGATTCTCTCTTTTTAAAAAAGATTTTATTTATTTATTTGACAGAGAGAGACAGCAAGAGAGGGAACACAAGCAGGGGGAGTGGGAGGGGGAGAAGCAGGCTTCCCGCGGAGCGGGGAGCCCGATGTGGGACTCGATCCCAGGACCCTGGGATCATGACCTGAGCCGAAGGCAGACGCTCAACGACTGAGCCACCCAGGCGTCCCACCAGTGATTCTCTTTTTGAGCAGCCAATTTATTTGGGTGCAGAAAGTTTAAGTGACTTGTTCAAGATCTCCTAGACACTGAACCCAGAAAGATGTTTCTGATTTACAGGAAGTAGAAGAACCACCTGTCCAACAGACACATGATGCCAGGTTTCTAGGAGGTGGTGTGCGGGATGCGGAGAAACATAGATCTGACGTGGGTGCACGTGTGGAGGCAAATGGCCAGGGCGGGAAGGAGGGAGGGAAGGTGGAAACCGTCTTAGGACGAAAGTAAATACAAGATGAATACCTATTCTACGAGAGACAGGGACTCCAGATGTGTTATGATTGCCTTTTTAAAAAAAGTTTGTGTATGCAAATGGACGTATTTATTATGGTTAAGAGTAGAGAAACTACGATTTCAACTGTGGGTATTGTTTACAGGATAATAAACAAATACATGGTCCTTCCGTGCCTTCATTAGTAGACCTAAGGGAAATGAGAAAATTAGTATTTTTAATCCCTGGATTCAAGATGATGAATTGCAAATGCAGTTTTTTAAAGGGTAGGAAAAATTGCCCAGATATTTTAAAAGTTATTTTTTGACAGCTAAGCCTGCACATGTTATAAAGATTCAGATTCCCATTTATAAAATAAAACATTTTCTAAATACTTCACTGAAACTTAAAATGTAAGAATTATATAGTATATTTATAATTTCCTATATGCGTATGTTTATAACTTAAAATTTTATGGTTTATTTAGTCCCGCCAACTTTTTATATTTTGTTTGTCATTGTAGAAACAGTTCCCCCAGTTGGAATCTATGGGTTCTCTTTCTTAACTATCATAAATACGTTCATATGTATCCATGGTGTGTCTCTTTTTAAGACAACAAAACTTGGACATTTCCACAGATTAATTCTTGTTTTTAACCTCAAGTCTGTTGTGAATTTAAGGAATAGAGAACCTATGAGAACCAGTTCATGAAAAGCCAATTCATAAAAGGGTTTCCTCTTTGGTGCACTCCTTTCCCGGGCCGCCTTGGTCCTGTCATCGGGGGCTGTCTGCTGTTTCCGAGGCGGCCTCCCTCTTCGGCGCCTTTGTGTGTCCTGCTCCCCGCGGCCCGCTTCCCTGCCTGCCTCGTGCCCTTGTGGTCTCGGCGCATGCAGGCATCACCCCTGGGAAGTCTTCCTGCCCTGCTCTCCTCTTAGGTCCCCAGAGATGGCCGTCTTCCTGTCTCTGAGCACCGACGCCATCCCGTTTTCTTCCAGACTCTTCACCCTTTCCAGGGCCGACTTGTGCGGCCAGTTGTGCTCAGAACCTGCCAGGTGTTGACTGAATTGGTGTGTTTCTGTTTCAAGATCCCACGGTGAGGAAAATGGAGATGACAGTGGAATGTGTTGTCCTCAGGATTCTTTGGGTCACAAGGGACAGAAACCCCTTAGCTGCAACAGAGAAGGGAGGAGATTTATTTTTAATTTTTTTTAATTTTTTATTTTTTTAGATTTTATTTATTTGAGAGAGAGAGAGACAGAGATAGTGAGAGAGAGAACACAAGTGGGGAGGAGAGGGAGAAGCAGGCTCCCCACAGAGCAGGGAGCCCGATGCGGGACTCGATCCCAGGACCCTGGGATCATGACCTGAGCTGAAGGCAGACGCTTAACCGACTGAGCCACCCAGGCGCCCGGGAAGAGATTTATTCAAAGTTAGACCGGTGCCTCAGAATTGGAGGGCAGAATGTGCCGCCTGATCTGCTGCGGAGTGGAACCAGGGACCAGCGAGTAATGCCTCCGCCCAGCTCACACCTGCTTTGTCTCAGCCCTGTGTGCATCTCTGCTTCTTGTCCTCTGTCCTCTCCACCCTCTCCTCGGTCTCCTCCCCCTTCTCTTCAGCTCCGTCACAGCCCTGATGCAGGAGCTGTGAGAAGGCAGGTGGTGTGCTTGCTGCCGGGACACTTAGGCAGGAATGAGCTAAGTACATTCCTGCTCTGCGGGAAATAAAGCAAGGTGGTACGTGGCTGTGGGTGGGCTACTTGGGGCCTGAAGGAGAAGAAGCCAGCGGGGGGCAGGTCAGGGCAGCTGTGCCCCAGCAGAAGGCAGCAAGCCCTGGGGCTCCTAGGTGGGGACAAGCTGGTGTGAAGGACAGAAGGAGGACTAGTTTGTCAGTGAGCGAAAGGGAGAGAGAAGGAGAAACCTTTAAACACATCACGGGGAGAAAGAGTCAAATTGCAGAAGCATCTGTGCAGTATGATTCTGTTGATGTAAAGTCTAAGTACCTGTAAAAGGTATTTGTGTGATATTAACAGTGGAGACAAGTGTTCAGTGAAAATACAAAAATGTGAAACGTGAAGTTGGGGCGTAAAGCATAATAATATAAAAATAGGAAGAAGGCGCATTATGTATAAATGCCAGGAGACAGCTATGTAGAGGAGACAACCTATATTCAGTTACAGGCACTTTTTACTTAAGTGATTTAAGTTAATGTTTTCTAGCAGCAAAGGTACAACAGCTGTATATATTTAAAAAAAAATGTAATTTATGTGCCCACAGTTACTATCTGTGCAAGGCCCTCGTGTCTCTGCACGTGGAGGAAGAAGCCAGTGTTTTATCCAAGTTTGGATTCTACTAACTTGTGATAATTCAGCTTCTGTTGAAATCTAAACAGTGAGCATTCCAGGGACGAATTATTCGTGTCTGTGAATCAGTCCCCAAGCATGGACGCTGCTCAATGTCTGCTCCAGACAACAGTGGTCACACACGGAGAATTTCATTTTTTATATGCTACTTTGAAGGAGGCCTCTTTTAAAATTTAACAGAAACGGAATGTTGATGTTTGAATGTTTATCTTGCACTTTGACACTTTGGAAATCAAACACGTCACATTGGAGAGTGTTCCCACTGCTTTTAGAAAATGCTTTGCCATGAGTCGTTTTGTTATTCACAGTAAAGCCACGGTCAGGCCTCGGTCAGGGCTCGGTCAGGGCTCGGACTCCACTGTCCCAGCGGGAGGGACTGAAGGAGGTGCTCCCGAGTAGCAGTGTTCTGTCTGCCATCTCTCGGTTTCCCTTTCTGAGGAATGGAGAACCTAAGACAGTGATGGAGCCTATCTCCAGTTACCTGATAATTTTGAGAATTCCCGTTAGAAATAAGAAGTAGAGGCAGAGGTTGTAAAATAAGGATAAAGACGGGAGACAGTAGAGAAAATGCATTCCGAGTCCTCTAGCTCTTTGCTGGCTGCGGGCAGAGGGCAGTCTGTCACCTGCAGGGCTGGCTGGAGATGAGCGCCACGCGGGTCAGAGGGCGGAGGCCGCATCGGGCTTCCTCGGTCTGGTGTGCTGGTGGCCACCGCACGTGGGGTATGGTCAGTGAAAGTGTGGCAGTGACATGATGTGCCCCCCTGGGGGCGCGAGGTCGGGGACCATCGCCCTGAGCACTGCGGTGGGCCGTGGGGTGTCCCCTGAAGTGGCAGCCGGAGTTGTCTGCTGCATGGGGCCACGAGCGGGCATCTCCTGTGTGGGATTTGCCTGGGGTGACCTAGTGCGGTGGGGGTGGGGGCGCAGGTGAAGCAGGACCAGCTGCGGGGAGATGGTGGTTGAACCACGCGATGGACGCATCCAGGGCTCATTGTAGTAGTCCTGCTTGTGTGGCTTTGCGGTGTTCCACAGAAAGCGAACCAAAGCTGCCGTGTGTGAGCCTACAGTTACTTTCAGAACAGTGCGACGTGAGCGGCCCTGTGAGAGTCCGGTGGGGCAGGTGCTCTGGGCCGCAGGGAGAACCGCCGCACTAACTCCTAAATCAAGTTCACGTCTGTTCACGGGAATCCGGCCACGTAGGTGATGCTGTTTCATTCTGTTGTTCTGACTCGAGCTGGACATGACATAACCGTTTCCTTCTGAGACCCCACGGCGGAGAAAGGAAGACGAATACCCACCGGGAAGGAGAGTGATACAGGGCCCAGTTAGGATGAGTGGGGTATGGCATACACTCTGGAAGGCGAAGGGTGAGGCTGCTGCCGGGAGTCGGGCCGAAGGCCTGGTAGCTGGGCTCTGTCTGCAGTGGAGGACCTGTGGGGAAGCTCCTTCCTCTGAGGCGTGGATGGTGAGTATTTAAGAGCAAGGGCGTTAGGAGTCAAATTGACAAGGGCAGCCCCTCTGTCCTCAGCGCCTCGGCCTCTTCCTGGCAACATGGGGATAGTAGACTTAATGGGACCATTGGCTGAGTGTTGGAGCTGGAGGTGAAGGGCAGCCCTTTGTGCTCAGAGTCAGCGTGGGGGAATTGTTGATGGTGAGCTTCGTAAAGTCCAGCAGACCTGGATTCACGTCCTGGCCCGGCACCGCTGTGCTCTGAGCACTTGAGCACGTCCCTTCGCCATGTGGTTTGTGTTCCAGTGCGTGACGTGGCCACGCGGACGGGGCCGGGGGTGGTGGTTGGTGAGGGTGCTTCCCGCAGTCCTGGCTCTCCGTAGCCGTCAGCAGCGCTCTGTTCCCTCGAGGGTCGTGGCTTCCCTTGGTGTCTTTCTGCAGCTTGCTTGCCGATGGCCGGGTTAGGTGCGGCTTTGCTCACGCCTGAGACTAGAACGATTGGATGAAAGCCCTTGTCCGTTGACACAGCCCTGTGACAGAGAGACCCCTTTGGTCACACAGGTGGACGGAAGTGCTTACAGCCCGTCTCTGAAGGGGGTGGGGCCAGGGGAGCCCGTGTTTCGCAGACCGGAGGCAGAAACTTGGAGGTTCAGGCGCTGCCGGGAAGCAGACTGGAACCCACATCTGGACGACACTGTTTTCCTGCTGACAGTAATGGGAAAACCGTCTTGATCAGCGAGGGAGGCCAGTGCAGGGCAGGCAGGCCTGACTTGCTGCGTCAGTGTCCTCGGGCTGTCGGAACAAAGTAGCACAAACCGGGGGCTAACACATGGCAGGGGGTTCTCCCAGCTCTGGAGGCCAGAGGTCTGAGAGGGAGGCGTGGCAGGCCCGTGCTCCCTCGGCACGGAGGGGGGCTCCTCCCTTGCCCTTGCAGCTTCCGGTGGGGCTGGCCGTCCTTGGGGGCATCCTCGTGGCCCTCTTCCCCTGGGTGGCTGTCTTCTCTTGCGAGGACAGGGGTCATGTTGGGTGAAGGACCCTGCTCCAGCATGACCTCATCGTAACCCGCACAAACCCTTGTTCCCACCGTGGTCCACATGCTGAGGCCTGGGGTTAGGCCCTCCGCGTCTGCTTTCTAGGGACACAGTTCAACTCATAATACTTGTCCTGTTAACACAGACAAACCAAACATTGTCAGCACGCATTCCAGGCGCCTTTCTCAACAACTGGTGTTATGTGAGAGCAAGGTGGTGGCTCAGTGTAACTCAGGACACTACCGGGAAGCCCCCACCCTGGGGAGTCGGCCAAGGGAATAAATAGGGTTAACGGAGTGTGTGGCCACGCCTGAGAGGAGCCAGCGGGCCCCTCCCCAGCCCAGCGAGCGAGCTCGCCAGCAAGAGGGAGAGTGCAGGCCCATGCCATGGGGTGCTCCTGCCTCCCCCTTGCCGACTGCCCCGCTGGTCCGCCCTGCTCGTCTCTGCGTGCACCGTGTCACCCTGCGGCCCTGTGACCCTGCGACCCTGCGATTAGGGCTTCCTCACATTCTACAAACCACTCCTCTAAGTGAGTGCTTCCTCTCTATCTCAGAGAAACCTCTCTTTTCCCTTTGCCTCCGCTAACTGACGTGGCTTCTTTTGGCCCAGAAGAGGCCCCAGGCTGAGAGGTGACATCTAGAGATCTCCTCAGCGTGGTAAGACATTACTGTTGACTCTTAGGCCGAATCTTGCTTTCACGAGGGCCCTGGACGGTGCAGAGGGAAGTCTTCCTATGCTTTCCTAAACATTTACTAACTTTGCAGATTTTTCTTAGCTAAATTTTAGTAGAATTTTGTCTCCCAAGTTATTCGTAGGCTGTAGATCAGTAAAGCTACAGTCCAGACTTGGAATGGGTGAAGACTTCCATTGTGCCAAGGTTCTGAGAATTCCTGAAACCCACGGCCACCTCAGCTTGCCCAGGGTTGGCAGTGCGCGGGCTCATCCAGCGTGTCCTCACGGAGGTGGTTCAAAGCCGTTCCCTCCGCGGTCTTTCTGGCAGGTTTCCTTTCCTTTTCTCTTAGTCCCGCCCTCCCCGCTAGGGGATGCTGCATACAGGCCTTTGACGCGGGCGCTGAGCTCAGGGAGCGGCCCCCGGGCTGGGCGGGCGGGGCTCTGTGCTGAGCCCAGCGGATGCCGCCTTCCCAGGGCCGGCTCCCACCCATACAGAGTCTGCCTCCCCGGAATGTGGCTCTTTACGCGGGGTCGCGGGACCAGCAGCCGCACCAGACTGTGTTAGAATGTCCTAGTGTTCGGAATGCCCCACCCTGACCTGCTGAGTCAGAGACCCAGCCTTCCCATGATTCTCATGCAACTCAAGTCTGAGAACTGCCCTAGAATAGTCTTTGATGGGATTTAAATGTTCGGAGCCTGACTGCTGGTGTAGCGTCTCTGTGGCTCTTTCCGTGGTCAGGACAGTTGCTTTCCTTCTTCCTACTGACTGTTGCCTTATTAAAGTGCTTGTTGATTATTTGTGGGGCCCCTGGGAGTTACTCACTTAGGGAAGAATGAGGAGCACCAGCTACTACATGTGCAAGTTCCTTGAAAATTGTGTGTTTAGCAAAGTTAGCCAGTGGTGTCAGTGTTTTTTAATCTTTATAGAAAATATGCAGTATGAGGGTTTCACTTCTTGAGGATAAACTTGCTGTGTCCTGTTGACCTTCACGGTCACTGAGTTCTGGGAAGTCCCGCCATTGTTTCCAGGAGGTGGCCGTGCTGCCCCCAGGGCTGTCCGCTGCTTCCGTCCTGCCCCACCTGCGCCCGGGGTCCTCAGTGGGCAGGGCTGGTCCTCACCGACAGTGCGGGCTTGTCACAGCCCTGCGCTCTAGCCACTTGCTTCTCTCTTTCACCGTTCGTACCTGTGTGAACATTCCTAAAATCTGAATTTTCCTTTTTATATTTTCCATTTTAGTGTAGAAAAAATGATGATGGGGACACAAGTGTTGTTGTTGAGAAGGACCATTTCATGGATGATTTCTTCCATCAGGTAAGAGCCATTCGATGAAGCCCAGCAGACTTTCTTCTTTAAACACAGTGTAACTGCGTGTGTGTTATATTTGGAAAATACTAAAAGTAATATTTTAAAAAGTCGTTTTTGATGACCTAAGTTCTCTAGAATGTTTCGTGCCCTGAACATATCTGGTAGCACTGAGCCATTCTTCATGGAAATAGGCTTGGGGAGGGGTTGGTGGGAGTGGTGGTTTGGAGTCCTGAACCCCTGTCCTCCCCAAGGAGGAGCCTTACGCTCCCGGCTTGGGTGGGGCTTGGCGAGGCACTCCTGGCGGTGATGCGGAGCTGGGGCCGGGTGATAGCGCGGAGGAGGAGGGCTGCCTCCGGGCGACCGGCCAGCCCTGTGGTGGGTCTGGGTCTCACAGGTCCTTGCCCAGCACCGGTGGCGTTCTCCAGACTGAGGGCCGCCTGGTCCTTTGGAGAGTGGCGCAGATCTGGTTCTTGGTTTCTGGGGGCCACGCGCCGACCCGTGTTGGCCGTGGAGCCCTGGAGGCACGAGGGTGGTGCCCGTGCTTGGGGGCGGGGGGTGCTGGGGGTGCTGGGGGCAGCAGAGTCCAACTGGAGTTCAGGTTTTCACTTGTTAAATAGTTGTTTCCTTTCACAGTTAAGCTTTGTGGAATGACTTCTTAGACAAATAGACAATGATGTTGTTAATACAAACTTGTCTTTAGAGTATGGCATTCAGATCTTAAATATCACTTAGAACATCGTAAAAGATAGGATTTTGCACCTGGCCAGTGCCCTACCGGGTGGCCAGGGAACGTCCCCTTTGTGAAGATGATTTGTAAGGGACAGAAAGAGACCCTGCGCCGTGTCCCTCCTAGCTATCGGTGGGAGTGGGCACCACGCTGATCGCGGGCTGCTGGGAGCGTGACAGCCCCCTTTCCTTTCTGGGCCGCACTGGGGCCGCTGCCAGAGAGACTGCAGACCTCTGCGGGGGGCCAAACCGTGTCTTTTCTACTTGGTGACCGTTGTGTACCACGGAGTTTACTGCAGAAACAGCACTTTCAGGACGGCTGGTGGAGCCGCCGGCCTGTGCACGGAACCCAGAGTATCCTGCGTGTGTTTATGCCTTCATGATGAACTAGCAAACATTTAAAAGAATCAGCTTTTATTTTGTGCATTGTTTTTACATGGTTAGTAATAATATTAAAGTCCTACAGAAATTGCGTGTGGATGGAAATCACCTCCAGGCCCAGCAACACGGCCATTCGCCCTTCTAGGAAACCAGAATTCTGTGTTACCCTCTCCTTCACACTTGGTTTTCCAAATGTGCCTTGGAGCTGAGACCGGGGGCCTCTGGGCGGCCAAGACCCCTTCAAGGAGTCCACGTGGTCAGGACCATTTTCATAGTGATACGAAGTTGTCTTTTCCTCCATTCTCTCACGAGTATGTGTGAGGACTGAGTCTCTCCTTGCTACTGTTAAAAAGAAGCACAACCCGAGTGGCTTCCCCTGATGGGCATTCACCATCGTGCGGTTCCAGCCAGACCTGAAATGAGCCTGCTGGCGGGGCTGGCTCCTTTCGGAGGCTCCAGGGAAGAAGACTCCGGCGCGTTGGCTCTGTAAGTGCATCGCTCCAGCTCTGCCGATGTTACCACGCGCCCATCTTCTACATTTAATCCTCTCGCCTCCTTTTTATAAGGACTCTTGTGGTTGCTTTGGGGCAACTCAGACAATCCAGGATAATTTCCCATCTTTAGACTCCTAACCCCATCTGCAAAGTCCCTTTCGGCCCTGTAAGGGAACACTCGCAGGTTTGGGATGTGGACTTCTGCCACAACATGGAATGATCTTATAATTACTATTTTGAAATGAATCAGTAAACATTTAAGCTATTTTTCCAGTGTGGTAATTATGGATACGTGGATCCATTTGGGCAAATCTCGCTGGTGAGTAACTTACATTTTGAAACAAGTGTTGAGTAGTTTAGATTATGAAAGATAGAAACAATGACTGGCGGCCTGGCCCCATCGGCCACAGACGCCTCCCCACATGGAGGGTTACTGCCGGGGTAGCCTCGTCTACCTCGACCGTGCGGAGCGCTGGGTGCGTGGCCGTGTGCCTCCAGTGGACGTCATCTGTGCTGACACTTGGGTCTCGATTGTAAAGGTTTTTACAACCTGATAGGTTTTGTTGGTGAATGTTGATTGATATCACCTTAGTCATGGGGGTATGGATCTTAACACGGTACATTTTTTTTATCTTTCAATTAAATAATTATCAGTGTGAGAATGGAAAAAGGCTGTTATTTCTTCATGTGGTAATTATTCATTTATCCTTCCCTTTTTAGGTAATGGAAAGTGGTAGCAAATCTGAATTTGCCACAACAGTGAGGCTGTTTGTATCTGTCCTAGGTTGAGGAGATCAGGAACAGTACAGCTAAAATAGCTCAGTACGTTGAAGAAGTAAAGAAAAACCACAGCATCATTCTTTCTGCACCAAACCCAGAAGGAAGTAAGTCATTGGCTTTAAGAACTGTGCTGCCCTCTCTCTCCTGCTGCCTGGGAAACAGGCCTCAGCCCTGACTGCACACAGTCGCGTGGGGAGCTTGTCCTAACCCCGGAGGCAGGCAGGCCGCCCCTCTGTTCGGATGCACTTTCTCTTCCTCTGCCACTCTCCCTGCTCACGCTCTCTCTCTCTAAAATAGAATAAATCTTTAAACAAAATAAATGAAAGTTAATAAGAGACTGAGTTGGAAAACAGCATTTTTAGGGCAGGTAAGATGAATCTGGATAAACCAGAGATTGCGAATTGGAATCCATACCTCATTTTGGGGAAGAATTGGTGTCTTTAAAATACTGCATTTTTTAATCCATGAAAAGGGTCTGTCCCTCTACAGTTTTCATTTTCTTTTTTTTTTTTTTTTTTAAGATTTTATTTATTTATTTGACAGAGACACAGTGAGAGCAGGATCACAAGCAGGGGAAGAGGGAGAGGGAGAAACAGGCTTCCCGCGGAGCAGGGAGCCCAATGCGGGGCTCGATCCCAGGACCCTGGGATCATGACCCGAGCCGAAGGCAGACGCTTAACGACTGAGCCACCCAGGCGCCCCCAGTTTTCATTTTCTTTAATCTCTCTCGGTCATGCTCCACAGGGTTTGCTGTAGGGACCTCACACATCCTGCACTGTGTTTCTTAAAAGGTGGTGGAGGTCTTGATGTTAATGTAAATAGTGTCTGCTATAAGCTTTATTTTCTGTTTGTTTCTATGTCTAGAAGTACAGTGGGTTTTTATACGTTGACCTTGTATCCCTGTTATCTTGCCTAATTACTTATTAATGCTGTTAATTTCTGTGTAGATTCTGTTGGATTGTCTCTGTACCTAGGAATGTCATCTGTGAATAATGACACTTTTCCCTTTGCTCTGTGCTTTCTATTTTTAGTGGACTTATTTCAGTGACCTCTGATACGGGGTTAAGCGGAAGTGGTGATGGGGACACTTATTCTCAACTTCAGAGGAAAGCTGAAGCAACTTTTTGTTAGAGGATTATTTGGTATAGCCTTACATTGAAGAAATAAAGATACTACATTGGAAAAGAACATGTTCTTAATTTTAAGATTTTGAATGTCTTGTAAAATAATGCTTTGACCCTCAGTAGATGCCTTATCTTATGGTTTAGAAAAGCGTTTCCCAAAATGTGTTCTGGAGCACGAATGTCGTCAGCTAGCCTATGAAACAGGAGGTGTGTCACCTAGTGCGTTTGGGAGCCTTCTTATACCATATTCCCTCTTGGGAAGTTACAGTGTCCTCAGTAATAAAGGCCCTGAGCAGTCCAGCTTGAATAAAGAAACCTGTTTAACTTAGTGTAGTGTTTCACACATTTATTTGCCCACAGAACTTTTTATGTAACACCTATTAACATCTTAATTCTTGGGAAAATTGAATTTGAATAAATATTAGCATGTTTTTTTCTTTTGGATAATTTACCTCCAAAGAATTATGCAGATAACACTCCTGTTTGAATACATGCAGAACTCTTAATGCTTCACAGTAGTCCCTTCAGGGCTCTAAATAGACCGATTGCTCTGGTCTTCTGTCTGTTTCATGACAGAGCGTGAACCAAAACGGGGGAGGCAGTGTCCAAGTGCTCACTTAATTGACCTTTGAAAACAGAAGTAGTTTCTCTCCTGCGGAACTGGGCCCGGGGGGGCGGGGTTGGGCGTCGCAGAAGGCAGCGGGCTGCCGGCCCCTGGGAGGGCCAGGGGTGCCTCGGCGCTGTCCCTGCCGGCTCCTGGGTGGGCTACACGAGGGGGGGACGGGGGCTGCCCAGCCCTGCCAGCCCCAGGGCCGTGCGGGGCCTGAGCACAGTGGCCACCAGGTGGTGCCCTGTTCCCCGGGCCGGTTCCTGCTACGTCAAGGTCCTGGGGCCGTTAGACGTTGTCTTCAGAGTTTTAGTGTAACGTTTCCGAATCGCTGGGAAGGTTGCGGTGATGGTACAGTGGGACTCACCAGTGGTCCACGTTCGCCACGCCGATCTGTGTGTGCGCAGACACACTGTGCGGGCTCTCGTGTGGGCTACGTGAGTTCCGCGTGGGCTGTTATTTGTGCCGACTCCTTTCAGAGTGACCGCTCCGAGATTAATCTCCGAAGAAGGACACTCCTGCACGTCGGCGCTGGTCCTCTGACCGGGGAAGGTAACGCTGATAAAGTGCTGTTGCCGGACGTGCGGCCCGTTCTCGTCTGAAGCCCCGTCCCGTGAAGCCCTCCGTAGCTTACCTCTGTTTCCCTCCTTCCGGGGTCCAGGCCAGACGCACGTGCGTGGAAAGCTGGGGGGCCGATGCCTTCACGAGCTGTAGCGTCTCGTGCTGCGTTGGGCCTTTCGTCGTGGGGGGAGCGTCCCTCCTGCCCCCACTGACGGTCGTTTGTGTCCTCGTGGCCACTTTGCGTGAACAGAGCTCCCCCGTTTGCCTTGATTCGTGGGTGTGGGAGAGGTTTCCCCACTGCTTCCTGTTGATCTTCCATAGCCGTGTGCCTTATGTGTTTCTCTCATCTTTTATAAATAAAGTATTACTGGGTTTTGTCTTTTTTCCAGTCTGATCATTTTTTTTGTCACTAATTGATTTTAGGCTCTTGGCTAGAATTAATGATATAGTGAGGTGGACATTCATAATCATACTTGTTTTCACTTTTCTTGCTTGTTCTCTGTTACTTCTCTCTTTTCAGGCTTTCTTTTGGATTGGGTTTTAAGAATTGTATCTCCTCTGGGCGCCTGGGTGGCTCAGTTGGTTAAGCGACTGCCTTCGGCTCAGGTCATGATCCTGGAGTCCCGGGATCGAGTCCCACATCGGGCTCCCTGCTCGGCGGGGGGTCTGCTTCTCCCTCTGACCCTCTTCCCTCTCGTGCTCTCTGTCTCTCATTCTCTCTGTCTCAAATAAATAAATAAAATCTTAAAAAAAAAAAAAAGGAATTGTATCTCCTCCATCACTAGCTTATTTATATGTACTACTTTCTTTTGTTATAGTCAGCGTCATCTAGAGTATAGTGTGCATTCTCGATTAAGGTCCAGTAGAAATCTGTGTTTTTACTACTTCCAGGTAACACAAGGACGTTAGGAAACTTTAACCCCACCTATTCTTGTACGCACATATTGCCGTATGTATATAATGGGTAAAAGCAACATAAATGTTTGTATCCTGAACGTCCATTCGGATCTCCCCACATGCATACCCATACCAGGGCTCCTTATTTTTCCTTGGGTCTCACAACTTCCATCTGAGGTCATTTCTTTCTAAAAAACACTCTTTGTTCCTGCTTTTAGTAGGGAGTATGCAGTTGTCTGAAATTTTCCATCCGTAATCTTGTTCTTTTTTTTTTTTTTAATGTTTTATTTATTCATGAGAGTCAGAGAGAGAGAGAGAGGCAGAGGGAGAAGCAGGCTCCCCGCCTAGCAGGGAGCCCGATTTGAGACTCGATCCCAGGACCCTGGGATCATGACCTGAGCCGAAGGCAGACGCTTAACCATCTGAGCCACCCAGGCGCCCCCGTAATCTTGTTCTTGGAGGATGTCTTCATGTAGGAATCTATTGGGAAGTAAATTTCTTTGATCATCTTGAAAATTTTGAAGTAATGTTTCCAGTGGCCCCCCCCCCTTTTTTTTTTAAGTCAGCTGTTGAATTGCAGTTTTTAAGATACTTGGTGTTTGGTCTTTGGTTTAGCGATTTTGCACTGCTGTTTCTGGGTGTGGTTTTCTTTCTGTTTGTGCTGCTTTTCCTAAGTTAGCCTCTTGGATCCCAGGATCTGCACCTCTGGCTACCTGGGCCCTTTCTCCTCACGAGCCGTCCCTGCTCCGTTTCTTGCCCTCCCTCTTTGGGGGACCTGAAATATGTGTGTTCAGTCCTTTTCCCTGTGCCCTTGGCTCCCCTGCCCTCTGTTCTGTTCTCGCCCCCATCTCGCCGTTCTGATGGGAAGTCTGTTTGTGGTTCATCCGCAGACCGCTCTTCACCCATTGAATTATTTCTGGGTGAGATATTTTCAGTCCTAGAATTTCACTTGGTTCCTTTCTGTACTGTCTTGATTTTCTGACAAAATTCTTCATCTTGTATTGCACCCCTTTGAACATAATGATCTCTCTGTATCTGATCATCCACTAACTGGTGCCCCTGGGGGTCTGTGTACCTCGACTAGTTCTTTGTTTGCCTGCCTATTTTTGGTCGGGCCCTGGGCTTTGTGCATAAAAGCCTGTGGCAGTAATTTGAGTCCTAGGATAGTATCTTCTTTTCTAGAAGATGATTTTTAAACATTTCTGACAGATGGCCAGGGGCAGCAGCAGTTCTGGGTCTAGTTTAGGAGGGTTAGATGAACCCTGTCACAGTCCCCTCCTCCGGGGCAGGGCCTTCAGTGTCTTTGCAGCTCTCCTGTCCTCTCCCCTGCCTCCAGCTTCAAGCCGCTCCAGTTGCTGGCTCCCCTTTCTGGGTGTCCTTCTCCTGGATTTCTTACCTGACATTTTATTTTTTAAGATTTTATTTATTTATTTGACAGAGAGAGACACAGGGAGAGAGAACACAAGCAGGGGGAGCAGGAGAGGGAGGAGAAGCAGACTCCCCGCTGAGCAGGGAGCCCAACGCGGGGCTCGATCCCAGGACCCTGGGATCATGACCTGAGCCGAAGGCAGACGCTGAACGATTGAGCCATCCAGGCGCCCCCTTACCTGACATTTTAGCTTTAAATGCCTCTAAGCAGATTAAAAACATATTTTGTCCAGCTTTCCTGGTTCTCAGCAGGAGTGTTGATCGCACCACATCCTTTTCTCAGTGGTTCGAAATGCTCCCTTTGCCAAGGATACCCTTATGGCTCTCTTCTGTCGCTTGAAGGGATCAGATATGAAAACGCCTCTTTCATTTCCCTCACGAGCACCTGAGCCCCTGCCTGCCTGTGTGAGCAGGGAGTCCGGGATCTCCTCGTCCTGGAACAGCCCAGGGCTTTCGTATCCAGAGCGGGGAGTGCTCCTGGGAAGTGCCAACTGGGGGACGGGGCTCTGATCCACCCCAGGCTCAGTCCTCAGTTACCGAGGCTTCTGTGCCCACCCCATGGCTCATAGTTGTTCCCCAAGTCTGCCGTGCCGTGTCCTCAGCTTGGCTGCACACATTCTCCTGCTGTGTGTGCATTTTCCTGTAGACTCCCGCACTGCTCTCCGTCTCCAGACGCAGTGACCGGGTCTGGGGGTTAGCCTCAGCCTTCCCAGGGTGGGTACCAGCACTCCTGTGAGGAGCCTGCTTCGATTAGGTAGAGGTGAGCACAAAGGAGATCAAACACGTGGGAGAATTTCTTTCCAGAATACGATTAAATTTCTGCTTCCTTTCTTAGGTCTAGGTGTTAGCGACAGATTCATTGAACTATTTTATCAGTTAATTGCTATAAACCAGCTCTTCTCAAATGCGGGTGGGTGCACATCACAGTCACCTGGCGGCTTGTTAGGTCGGATTGCTGGCCGCAGGTCCCACACTGAGTAGGTCTGGGCGGGGCCCAGGAATGTGCGTTTCTCCCAGGACCCCACCTGGTGCTGGGGCTCCTTGGTCTGGGAGCCTCACTTTGAGACCCAAACACCTGAATATTCACCAAGAATATTGTTCCATTTAAGTTTATTGGGTATTATAGCTTAGATGCCTTTTTTTTTTTTTTAATTTTAAAGAAATAAAAGAAGAGCTTGAAGATCTGAACAAAGAGATCAAGAAAACTGCTAACAAAATCCGAGCCAAGTTGAAGTGTGAGTTTACAGCTTTGGCTGCGTGTAATGGGTGATGGTGGCGTATGGGTAATCTTGTTTCCTTTATACTCTCTTACTCTTGACATTTTTACAAGTCAGAACTGTGAGCGCTATGAATTATTTGTATGAACTTGGGAGTAGTAGCCTTTACATTACTCATTGTTCTAGAATTCTTAAACTACTGGCTCTGAGGACTGCCCACAGGGAGCTAAAGCTAATGGTTGTTAATCCGCAAATTTAGGACAGAAACACGAGTTCATATTCATCAAGGTTAATTAAGCATTTGCTTATAATAAATTGTTAATTTCTCATAGAGGCCTATTTTTATGACTTTTTTTGCTGAATTGCAGATACTTGAGAAGGTTAATAGCTTTTCGTACGAATCTCCAGTTCTTCTTAGTTTCTTAAATTTGCAGGAGTTTAGCTTCCGGTGCTGGAGGTTTAGCTCCAAGAGGTAGTTTCTGGGAGGTGTGGGCATAGAGGGAGATGCTGGGAAGACACGCTTTATCTGATTGTTAAAAAAGAGCATTCAAATCCAGGAAATCTCTGCGGATCAGGAAGAACTTTTGTCAGGGAGCATTTCAGACAGGTGGGGGCAGGGAGATGATGGCCTGAAGCCTGTGGCCACACCCTTCAGCTTTTTGCCCCCGGGGCTCCCGCCTGCCCAGGTGGCTTCATCAGCACATAAGTCAGTGTATTGCAGAACAGAAGGATTTTCACCCAAGAGTACAACCACAATGCCATGATTATATCCAGTTATTTATTAGGAAATATCCCATCAGAATTTATGCTTCCCCAGTGTTCTTTGAATTTCTTTTTACAGCATGCTTGAACTGGGTTCCAGATAAGGATCATCCCCTGGGATTGGTGGCATGTCACTTAAAGTTTTTAAAACTCAGACTCTCCTTCCCTCTTCCCCCCCTTTTTTATTTTGGTTGGAGAGACCAGGACATTTGTCCATCAGACTTGGCCATGCCTCAGGGTTTGAAAGCTCTGTATCTCCTGTAGATGGATGGTTAAGTTCTCCAAACTCCATCAGTCAGGTGATTTCTTTTGTTTGTTTTTCTTTTAAATGTTAAGATAGAACATCTGGTTTTATTTTGTGGTATTACCAACGATGGATATCATTATTGAGATCCATAAATTGATGAGGAATTGATAAGAAAGAAAAACATTTCGAGGTTTGGCTTGAGAAACCTCTGTTTTTTAGTTTAAAAGGTGACTCTTTTCCTGTCTGTTTCCAGCTATTGAGCAAAGTTTTGACCAGGATGAGAGTGGGAACCGGACTTCGGTGGATCTTCGCATTCGGAGAACCCAGGTTTGGTTGTCCGCCTCATCCAGACTGCAGCGATGAGAAGAATAGGTCTTTTTACTTCTTTCAAATTGAAAATAGTTCATCTTTATGTCACATTAATCCTTACATCTCTATAGATGACCTCCTTATTATGAAGAAAAAGTGTATTCAGTCCATCAACAGAGTTCTGCTCTGAAGAGCAATATTATCTGAATTATCCGAATCCCTGGAGGGTGGGGGGGTGAGGTCCTTCTAAAGGTTTGTGGTCCAGGCTGCTCCCTTCTGCTTGACAAAGGGGGGCCCAGTGTGCAGGCCAGGCCTCGTCCAGTAAGCCGGGACCCACAGGCGAGCTCGCATCACAGTGTCCGCGTCTGTAAGGTGGGTTCGCTGGTGGCGCTCGTGAGGCTCTCAGTCCGGGTTCTGTCGCAGAGTTGGCTGCGGCTCATCTCACTGTCTGTGTGAGGGACTCCCGTAACAGGTGCAGTTTTCCTGATGTCATGTTTTGTATGTCACTTTCAGCGGAAATGATCGTTGTGTATTAATTTCTTCTGTGTTAATAGCATTCCGTACTATCTCGGAAATTTGTGGAAGTTATGACAGAATATAATGAGGCACAGACTCTGTTCCGGGAGCGGAGCAAAGGACGGATACAGCGTCAGCTAGAAATAAGTGAGTAAAGGAAAATGCTATTTTTGTAAAAAAACATATTTTTCTTAAGGTCTGACATCAAAGTACTGTAATTTCAGAATCGTTATTCCATCTTTATTTTTTGCCAATATTGCAATACCTAAAACCTTTTCATGACTTCCTGTTCATTGAATCACCAGAACTTTTTCTTTATTTACATCCTTTGGAAAATCCTTGGTGAGTGGACTTTAAATTACTTCCTAATCAGCATTATTTTTGGAGGGTTAATCAGATTTGGAAAACTTCCAGCCATTATCTCCTCAAGTACTTTTCTGTTGCCCCCAAACCTCCGTGCCCCGTCTGGGGAGACGGTCTCTGAGGGCTCACGGTGCTGTGTGTCTGGCGAGCAAGCGCGGACGGCCCTTTGCTCCAGTCTGCCTTGCAAGGACCCGTGTGGAGCCGTCAGCCTGGGATGGTGGGGCTTGGGCCTCCCTCCGGGTGGAGGGCACTTTGCTGACCGCATAAGGGTCCGTCCGGTGTGTCCGCTCCCCGTCAGAGAAGACCAGGGCTCCTCAGCTGTGGCATGAGCTCACGACGGGCAGTGCGCGCCTCCCCAGGGACCTGGGGAGCCCAGAGTGGCTGCGAGTGTGAACCTCATCACATGGCATTTCAACATCTTGACAGAGACACAGTTATACAGCACCCCAGTGACGTGTGAAGAGTACAGGTCAGTGGCTTTGGTGGGTCGCACAGCCGATTGTAGAACATTCGTTGCCCCAGAAATGTGCACCCACCATCAGTTGCTCCCTGCGCCTCTTCCCTGGAGCCCCCGGCAGCCACCAGCCTCTGCCAATTCGCCCGTTTTGGACACTTCACATACATGGAATCATGCAATTTGGGGTCTTCTGTGACTGGCCCCTTTGACTTAACACAGATGTTTCGAGGTGCGGCTGTCCCGCCGCCTGACTGAGGCTCCATCGTGCGGACGGGCTGCGCGGGGCTTACCTGGGCCTCAGCTGACGGACGTTTGGTCATTTCCACTTTATGACGATATGAATAATGCTGCTGCCAACATTCACTTTAAATGATATTTTAATTATTATGACAGTCATTTTACTTTGTCTTTTGTGGCACAAATTGTAAAAAATAAGAATTACCAATTGAGTTTTTCCAAAAACCTGTGAATGTATTTCATAGAGAGCATTAATATATTTAAACTCAAGGAAAAATACCAACAGCCAACACATAACAAGTGTTAAAGCGTCTGATTCTAATTATTCAGTCTTTATTTATGACTTTCTAGTCTATGCTGATAACATACCCTTTATCTGTAAGCCAGAGTTAAACTTTTAGGAAAACGTGTGGCACAAAATTACATATGATGTCCTCCTTGTAGTTGTTTCTCATTCATACTCAAGTTAGATTTTATGATTCATTCCAGTTATGAGGTTCTACATGAGAGTTTCCTGATTTTTCCTGTTTCTTAGTCTTATGTCAGTTTCTCTCAACATTAACACTCTTCTAAGAAAATACATTTGAAAGGTTAGAAAAATGTTTAAAAATGTAAACTCAGGTTTTAGTTGCTAACTTACGGTTGAAAGAGTCGTTTATAAATGTTGGCACGTTCTGAGTGGAGTTTGTGTTCGTCTTGCAGCTGGAAGAACCACGACGGATGATGAGCTGGAGGAAATGCTGGAGACCGGGGGCCCTTCTGTCTTCACGGCAGACGTGAGCATCCGGGAGGCCGCGGCCGCGCGCCCACACGTCCCTGCCTGCGCCTCATTCCCAAAGTGGCCCTGAGTTCATCAGTATTTCTTTTTTGTGTTTGTTTTTCAAAGATTATATCAGATTCACAAATTACTAGACAAGCTCTCAATGAAATTGAGTCTCGTCACAAGGACATCATGAAGCTGGAGACCAGCATCCGGGAGCTGCATGAAATGTTCACGGACATGGCTATGTTCGTGGAGACCCAGGTAACTGCACACATCTCCCCATCTCCAAGCGGACAGCAGGCATTTGTGAAATCTCCTATCGGATTCCCGCGTAGCCGAGGAAGCCAGCATTTTGGATCCAGTCTCAAAATTCAGAAGTTGATTGCAGTGTTGCTGTGAGACAGGGATGCTGGCAATGGCTTCCACTTTCAACAGTGAGGGACCGGCTTCCTTAAATTCTGTGTGTCCACGGGACAGCCGACTAGGCCACCACAGGCAGACTGTTGTTCAGGGAGATTTTTAGTGAGACGTACAAATACTGTGCTGGAACTGTAAGCGAATGGGGAGATAGAGTCTCACGTGTGTACATCCCCCTCTGTATAAGCATAGTTCTGTATCACGCACATGCGTGTACGTATATGGCATGAACTCGGCTCCGTAGAACAGTGTTCGCAGAAGGAAAGAAATCTACCAAGTAAAATAACAGTGGGACTGTGGGGGATTTTAATATTCTTCTCTAAAATACATGTCTTTTTAAGTGTTCTATAAGGAGCATGTATTAGAATGATAATTGGGAGAAACATTTAAAAGAATAAGCCCTAAATCTAGGGGACCGTCCGTGACACAGCTAGAAGCCTGTGGTCACTGCGTGGTGGTGTTTCTTGGTTTGTCCAGTGACGCAGGCGGGGAGGGTGTGGAGGTTCCCCTGGGAGAGGATGGAAGGAATGTAGACAATTCCTCACAAAATACAAAATCCAGTGTCCAATACAGGCTGGTGTGTTCCGACTCCTGGGACCTGAATCAGGCCCTCCAGGATGTTTCCAGTAGGGAGCGAGGCCTGCACGCGGCCGCTCACTGATTCAGGGGTCAGGATTCGGGTGACGCCCGCGCCGTGGGAGGGTCGGGTCACACATCTTCGGTAGATCGCGTCCTCACGGCCCTGAAGGCTGGTTTCAGGACCTGCTCTGGCAGGAGCAGTCTGGTGAGAAGTTTCTGGATTGTGTGAGGGATGGCAGGAGGTCCATCCTTGTACGGGATTCATTCTCCATGTGTATCACTGACCTTTGAAGAACACTTTATTTTGAGGACGTTTATCATAAACTGGAAAGCTCAGGTACTGTGGGATTGGTGGGAGAACCCAACAGCCCCGGGACGGCGGGCGGGGGCTCACTCTTGTTGGCCTGGGTGGAGCCCTCGCCTTCCTGCGCCGGGAGTCTGCCGGCTTCGAATTTTCAGGGAGAGTTCCGAAGGGAGCCGCTCGGCAGTAGGGACCCTACGTTGTTTCTGTGATTGTGAAAGATTTTCGAGTACCTTAGACTTCCATCGTGACGGTTCTACACCAGGTGTGTCGCGTTAAGCTCCCTCAGGAAAAGGGCTGCGTTCTTAGCTTTGTGTCCAGTGCATGCTGTCGCCTCCTGTCAGGCCGCGTGCGCAGTCGGAGCCCCGGGCGAGCTCGGGTCTGTGCAGGCGTGAGGTAACGGTGCGCCGTTTTCCACCGCTTCTGTCACTGCTGCAGGGTGTGTCTGCCGTGGATGGAGAGCCAGGGGCCGTGGCCTCTCCCCTCACACCTCCCTGCACTCGCCTCACGCCACGCTCCTCCCGAGTCTCGTCAGCTCAGCGTCAGACGTACGCTGGTCTTGGTTTTCGGTGTTGGAAGGAAAGCACGACAGGTTCCGCCCGTTAGAAACGATGTCTTGTACATCGTGCGTATGTGCGCGCCAGGAGGGCGTTGGCTGCCCGCACCTTCCCCAGGAGCGCACATACGCGGGCACAGCTCAGAAGGTACCTGACACGCCTCTCAGCAGCCTGTCGCCCACCCCTCTCATCCCTGTTCATTCTTCATAAAATGTGAACTTTGATGACTTTGTCTTGGCGTGTTTACAGTGTCCTCCTCCGTTTGTAAACGTGAAAAACATTCGGTGTCTGTTACGTGCACATTACGTCCACGTGAAGACTTTCTCGGCGCTCCGCGGCTGTCGTAAGATATGCACTCAGGTCTTTCGAAAATGTCCTCTGAGTCTGGAACTTTCTGTTTTAAGGGCGAAATGATCAACAACATAGAAAAAAACGTGGTGAACGCCGCAGACTACGTAGAGCATGCTAAGGAAGAAACGAAGAAGGCTATTAAATATCACAGCAAAGCTAGAAGGGTGAGTTTGGTTTTAAGAATTAAAGTGCATTCTTCTCTTCATTTGGCTTTGAGTGTAGTATGTTGATGTACCCTCCTTACCAGGTAGTCCAAGAAATAAGTAATTCCTCAAGTTCTTACTTCACTTTGAAACTGAAGTGATTGTTTTGCTGAGCAGCTAAAGGGTGTGCAGGTAAGTGTGGTGACTGTGACCCTTCGTGTTCCGTGACCCCACGTTTCTCCAGAGGCTGCTGTGTCTTGGCCATTATCTGGAGGGGGTGTAAAGCTAAGGGGACTGGAATTCTAGAAGCCGTTGGTCACACGTTCTGTGCAGCGAACCCTTGCTCTCCGCTGGGGTTGCTTGCCAGGTCTCTGGTTTGGAGGAAGAAGCGCATCACCGGGACGGGACTGCGGCTGCCGTGGGGCGGCCGCGTCGAAGCTTCGTGAAGGGGCTGTACCGTCCTTACCTGAACCCCGCGTGCGTGTGAGCAAAGCTCTTCTCAGAAAACAGCGACACGACGGCATTAAGTTCTGACTCAGGCACAAGAAAGCTCTCTCCTCATTTCACGGGTGTCCTTGTCCGGCTGCTTGGGTTTCTTTCTGCCCGGGGTGGAGAAGGCCCACACGGAGCGCCCGCCGCGGCTTTCCGTCCCGGGCGGAGGCTGCGCGGGCTCGCGGTGCCCTTCTGGCCGGGGGTTTCCACGCGCTGCGCACGGAGGCCTCGGAAGGAGGCGGCTCCAGGGCGCCGGGAAGAGAGGGAGGGCCGCGGTCTGGGCGCGGAGGCTGCCGTGCCGGCTGTTGGCGGCCTCCCGTACGTTAACAGGCGCGTCTGGCCTCCACCGTCAGCCCGCGGAGCTCGGCGCCCTCCTTTCCCCTGGGCGCGTCTGAGCGTGTTCGTCGTCTTTGAGACACGACAGTGGTCTGTGTCATCGCTCTTTAAAATACCCCGGCCCGAAGTGCGGTGATAAGGTCCACGCGTGAGTTCTCAGCCTGCTCCAGGCACACCGAGGGCTTCCCTGACGGGGTCATTAGCAAAGGGCCGGTCCCTTTGTTTCCCTAAGCAGCGCGTGAGTGCAGCGAGAATTTTCCTGGAAAGCTGGTTTTACAAAGACGACAGGCCTCCTGTTAAGCGCGGCCTCCACTGCGGAGGAGGCCTCACCGGACGGTGTCCGCTGCTGAGAGGGGTGGTGCCCGTGTCCGGCCCTGTCGCCATCTGTCCAGTGACAAGGCCGAGCCCTGACATCACAGGGCTTGTTCACGCTGCTTGCTCCGCCCCTGGACGGCCCACTGCCACATCTGCTCAGACCTCGGCCGTCCGTCCCTGCGCAGCTGCCTGGGCCCTGGGGGGCAGCCGGCCTGGGGTGCTGTGCTTTCTGGGGTGGAGGCTCTCACCGCCAACAGCAGAGGAACAGGCAGCGAGGGGGGCTCACCTGTAGCTCTGCCTGCGGGAACATCGCTGCCTGCAGACTCACCGTCTCACTGGTGGGACCCGATCGCCTGAGTTCTAGCGCCGTTCATCTCCAGTCTCGCTTCGTTCAACTAAAAACCACCGTCTCTAAGAGCTAAAAGCTGTCAAGAATCAGACGTCCTGTGACTTAGATTTTAAAGCAGCTTCCCGTGGATTGTTTTATTTTCAGTGAATGATGTCTTCTAATGGGGTGGGAAATTACCATCCTGTAATCGGCCTGCTTTCCTTTGACAGAAAAAGTGGGTAATTGTAGCTGTGTCCGCGGCCCTGGCTGCTGTAATTGCCCTAATTACTGGTTTATCAGTTGGCAAGTGAGGGTGTGGATCACGTCCGTGCCCCTGCCAGCCGGCAGCAAGTAACAGCTCATCTGCGGACTGACTTCCCCATTAGCCAGTGGTCAACGCACACCCACTTTTAACGGACTGAACCGTCCTAGCGGCCCGCCCGCGGGGGAGCGGGGCCGGCCTGTCGCCCGGGGTGGCCGTGCCCGGCTGCCTCGCGCCCTGGGCGTTCGCAGGCTGCAGGTGGGGCTGCAGGGGGGGCATCTTTCACCGGAGGCCTCCTCCTCACGTGGCCGTTAGAGCAGCGCGTGCAGCTGTGGGGGGCCCCCCGCCCTCAGGCGCCCGGACTCCGGGTGGCGGGGGGTGGCCAGAGCCCCGAGGCCCTTAATGCTTTCGTGTGCCTTTGGGAGTAACGGCAACAAGTGAAGGTTGCTTTGTGAGATCTCCTCCCTGGGGGTTCTGGCGGGGGTCCTGGGGGCCTGGGGTCGGGGCAGAGCTGTCCGGGAAAGCCCCTCGTCTTGCCGGCGGCCCTGTGTTGGCCGCACGTGGTTTTCCCACCCCCGCCGAGGAGAACAGAGAGTGATAAAAGTGTCTTATTTTTGTTTACTGTGCTCACCTTTCTCCAACCTTCAGTGCATTCTGTGTTTTCCCTCTGGTCTCCTGTGTGTTTGGGAGCCTCCGCCCCGCTGGGCGCTCCGGCTGGAGGGCCGGCTGGTGTGCTGTACCCCTCGTCCCGGGCCGGTCGGCCTGGTCCTTCCGAGGGCCGCCGGCCGGGTGCTGCCGGGTGGTCCCGGGGGAGCCCCCTCTGCGGCCGGGAGAGCGAGCTCAGACGCGTGACAGACACGAGTAAGGAGGCCCGTGTGCTGTGGGCCTGAGCCCGCGCAGCGTGGTGGTCGCGGTCCCTGCAACACTCGATCACTCGGGAAGTTGTTTCAGAATAGGCTCCGGCCGCTGCGTTGGTGGAAGGTCGTTCCTTAGAAGGAAGGAGGCTTAGCACTCTTTTTATTTGGACATTTATGTGATCCTCACGATGCTGTCGTGTTAGCTCTGCTGGAAAACATGGTGTCTGTGATTTTTCTTCGCTAATGTAATTGCATTTAGAAATATTTTTATAATTGCTTTAAATACACGTATTTTCTTCGTTTTTCCTGGTGGTCATAATATGGTTGGTTGAATGTGGTTACACTAAAGATTTTAAAATTAATCTTTAGATTGGACCCAGGGATGCTGTTTGGTAATGCCATTGAGTACAAGCAGGTTTTTCAGTGTGATTTTGGGGGGAGCAGTGGGCTTATCGTGGGTGCTGGGCCCAGATGCCCGGTTTACCCTAAGGTCTTTATTTTTTTATTTTTTTTTTTGAAGATTTTATTTATTTATTTGACAGAGAGAGAGATAGCGAGAGCAGGAACACAAGCAGGGGGAGTGGGAGAGGGAGAAGCAGGCTTCCCGCCGAGCAGGGAGCCCAATGTGGGACTCGATCCCAGGACCCTGGGATCATGACCTGAGCCGAAGGCAGACGCTTAACGACTGAGCCACCCAGGCGCCCCAACCCTAAGGTCTTTAAAAAAGAACACAGAACAATCCTCGTTAATAAAAACACACCAAAGTGCACACCAACAATTACTCCGTTTGTACAAATGCAGTGGTTGGTAACTAGCTCCGTCAGCGGCCCTGGTTGCTGTAATTGCTGTGTTTGGCAGAGCCCTCCGGTAGGCCAGGCTCCGGACTGCAGGAGGTAATCCGAGTCCCCACAGCCCTGCAGCCTGGGTGGGACGCTTGATTTCCTGTCCGAGGAGACAGGCAGAGCGTGCCCTGCCCGTGGTTCTTTATAACTCAGAACAGGATGTTCTGACGTAACTCAGAACAGGGTTGGCGCCCCGGGTGCGCTCTGCCCACTGAGAGGAGGGCACGCGTTTGGTTGGAGCTGTTAGCAGGGTGTTAGACGAGAACGGCTGTGGCATCTGGGTTGCAGGAGGCCAGCTGTCATGGAAATCAGGGGAGCACGCCCGCAAGCCAGTGGGGAAGGAAGGACACACGGGCGCGGTGCCGGGCCCCGCAGAGCCAGCCCCCGGGGCGCGGAAAGAGCTCACGTGCAGGGTGGCTGCCTCTCCCAGGGACCCCAGGCGGCGGCACTGGAGCTGAAGGGTGGTGGCCCATGGCAAGGACGAAGGTATCGCAGGCCTAAGGAAAAGGCTGTCCTCAGATCAAGGTGCTGAGCGGAGTTCTCTGGGCCACAGTGCTCACGCCAGGAGCGCGCGTGGGTCTGACGGAGGGGGCCTGAAGGCGGCGCTCCCTACCCTGTGCCTGGCAGAGCTGCCCCAGGGCCTGGCTGCTGAGCGTCGTCGGGGCCCGCGGTGGGGACGGAGCCGCTGCAGGCTGGTGCCGGCTCCCCCGGCGGGTTTCTCCGGGGCCCTGCGGCACGCGGCCTGCGTGCGCTCTGCGGTGGTGCAGGTGAGGAGTCTGCCGTCCGCAAAGAGAACTCCGGGGGGTCGTGCAGGCCCCGGTGCCTTTCATCTAGTCCTCCTCTGCCGGGCAGGTCCCCTGGGCCGGACCAGACGCCTTAAGCCGAAGGTGGTTTAGCTCCAGCTGTGCAGGGATGCTTGTTGGCTGAGAAACAAAGCCAGCTGTGCTCGTTGCCCGCCTCTGGCTGGGATGCGGCGGAAGACGGGTCAGCGGCGTATGGTTTTTCGCACACGTGCACACACCTCAGTGCAAAGACACGGGCAAGTCGGATGTCAGCAAGCGAGAGTCATTTAAAGTTTTGAGAAGATGTGCGGGACGTCCGAGGGATAGCAGCTTGTCGTTTCAGTATGATCAGTAGAGAGCGTTCGTGAAGGACCCACACGGTGCCAAGTGGACGTGCCTTTCCCTCCAGAGCAAGTCGTCGTCACACCTCTTTTAACTACGTCCCCTTAATTTAATAGACACGTGTGCGTAACGCAGAGCTCTGCCGGTGGAGCTTTCCTTCCCCACCCCTCCCTTTTCTGTGACCTGTAAGACTCGTGTTTTAAACTCTCAGATTTTGTTAAGAAATGACATTAGTGATTTCTTTCTTTTGATACCTTGCACATTAATGTTTTTCTTTATCTTGCAGAAAGTGATGTTCATTGTTATTTGTGTAACTGTTTTGCTTGTGATCCTTGGAATTGTCCTCGCAACAACGCTGTCATAGCGACGATGTCCTGAGGGCCACTCTCCTTGGAGCCAGACCACAGCTGCCGCAGGTCCACGCCTCCCGTTCCTTGCCTGAGCCCCAGGCGCCGCGACATATGGCGCTGGGTGCTGATCTTTTCCTAGCGAAGGCGAGGGGAAAGCTCGACGGGATGCATCGTGCAGGGAGGGTCTGTGAGCAGGAAGGGCGTGCCCAGTGACCCCCAACGTCCCTGGGCTCAGAACAGCACATCGCCAAAATGTAACGATGTGAAACTTAACTCCGTGGCCTTAAAATAAGGAATTATTGAAAATTTCAATTTTTTTTTTTATATTTCAGTGTTAAAAATACATGTGAAGTTTAATTAGGAATACTTTGTTAGGAAGCTACTAGATTTCAGGTCTGAGCTTTCCTTCCCCACCCCCTCTCAGCTAACATGCTAATTAAGAGACGGTTTTGTACTGTGTTTAATTCGTGTTTGGTGTTTGCAACAAAAACGTTTATCGTCACAGCTGTTTTGTAAGATATCTATAATTTTAAATGTTCATAAATTGTTTAATATATTAACATCTTAATTTACTCCATTTTTATATATTGAATATTGCCTTTTGAAAGAGTACTCGTAATATTCATAGAACCAGCTTTGCACAGTTGTTTACAGTCTGCCTTTGGCAAAGCACACGTCAGCTGCAAAGCCCTGGAAAGCCTTTCAAGTGCCTGTTGATACTGATTTGTGAGGTTCCAGTGCACCTGACCCCTCCAGGACAGTCCCCGTTCCTGGGCTCATCTCCACGGCCCGAACTCAGACATCAGATCCTGCGCTGTGAAAGGACACGGCCTCTTGCTTGTTCGTTAGAAATAAGGTCTGTGCGTCCCTGTTTACATTAATGAGGCCTGAGTTTAGGATGGTGAGAAGACCAAGAGTCAGTACTTTCTAAACTCATGGCAGTTATTTCCACACGTTAATTCTTCTAAATGTAAACTGTTGTACGGGGTCCTTAAATGCTCTTGTTAAGTACTTACTATTCTGCTGAACTTCAAAAGTGAATTACCAAAGTTTATAGGAATCTATAGTTAAACATTTTATTGCTCATTCATGTGTTTTAGTATAATAATATGGTTTATTTTTTGACTTGTAAAATGTATGGGATCTCACTAGTGAGTGGGCATTTCGAAGAAAGCTAGTCAAATTGTAAATAAATGTGAAGGATGTTCAAAATGTCACAGACTGGTTACCGCTATCCGTGATTGCGTAAGCCACGCCTGTGTTCCGATGTTGGTTTGGAAACGGATGGGGACGTTTGATTCCGCACAGTAGGTGTGAATGATGTTGAGCAGTTTGGAAACTGTGTTCTGTATGTAATCCAATTATGAATTCCACTCGTTCCTAATTTATGCACTCAGCGGCCTCGCCGAGACTCACATGTGAACGGATGCATGTCGTTTGCTGGCTGGTCACCTGTGCGTCCTCAGAATTACGAGAAGAGCCTGCTGGCTGTCACGTGTTCTTAAAAATCTTGAAATGGCCTGTCAGTGGGGTGTGCTCCCTGACCTGTGCCTACGTCGGAGACACGACTGGAGGGATCATGCTTTGTACTAGTGTGGCTTTTGTGCTCGTGTTTGTGTCCTTATGTCCGTGTGTCCGTCCGGCCCCCGTTCTCCTCCAGCTCCGTCTCCAGGTCATTCTCCTTTCGTCTGAAGGCCTTACTGAATGTGTGCTTTTGTCGTTGAAGTTATGGAAATGCCTTTTGATTTCTGTTTGGGTAAATATTTAAGTCAGTCATTAAATAGCACGTCTGTATGTGTAAGCCTCAAGCACCTGTTTGAGATCAGATTTTTAAAAATATATTTACAGGTTCACTCGTTACTTTTTATCATTTCTTCAAATATTGTATGTTTACATTAAAAAAAAAAACTGCCAGAGAACTGAAAACCAATTTACTTTGTCTTGTCATTTCTGGAAAGATTTTTGGGGACATACTTTATTGCATACCCATTAATAAATTGTTCTAAGAAAATTACTCTTACCCGTGGCCGTTTTTTTTTTGTATCATAATGTGAGTTCATGATGTAGGGTTGTTGATAGGTTTTGGTTATTTGTGTTGTTATTACGAGCCTCTGTGGCCCGTGTCTCGAGCCCATCTGAGTTCCGGCGGCTCACAACAAATGCTAATTCAGGGGACGTGGGTTACATCTCAGAGTCACTGGCTTCCACTGCTTATGTCCACTCGACAGATTCTCCTTTATTAATGGGGTTGGTGGGGGGGGAGTCCTCCCGCCCCCGGTGCGCTGAGCTGTTTATCCTCTTTCATTGCTTAATCCTCTTCCAGAATTTTTCTTAAGTGGGATTTCCTAAATTCACAACCCTTAAATTCTAACCATATTGGAAAGTGATGTTCAAAAGCGAGAATTCTAAAAAAGGAAGAGAACTCCGTCCTGGAGCGAGCAGGTCCTGCCTGGAGCTCGGCGCTCATCCCTGTCCCGATGCCCCTTCCACAGCGAGTCTCCCTTCAAACCGCAATCTTGATACACACGTGCAGTAAGTTAGCTCCTTCGTTTATACTTTTTACATGTAGTTGAGATGATAAAGTCATGAATTTTGTTAGTTTGAACCCTCACGAGCTCCCCGGGTGAAGTCTGGAACCCGCCCGCTCCGAGGGCAGGGAGAGGCCGAGAAGCAGGCAGGAGGCCCCAGACGGGCGGGCGGCAGGCAGGTGTGACAACGGGGGGCTCCCATCCAGCTCCTCTGGGGCCGCAGACGAGCAGGCTTTGGCCCCGCGCGCCAGCCCCTTGGGGTTCACGGGGAGGCCTCAGCGGGGTCCCTGCACCGTCCACAGGGTCTCAGCACCACATGCCCCTCAAGGTGCAGCCTGGAAACGCGCTCCCACCGTGGGAAAGGGCAGCCCCACCCCAAGGACGGGAGAGTGAGGGGCCCGCCGCGGGTCAGCCGGGGTCGTGTCCTCTCTCTGACCTCTGCCAGGAGTCTATTCGCTTCACTGCACCTCGGGTCACGCCCTCCCACGAGCTTACAACAGGATTCACCTGGGACGGGATTCCCACCCGCCGGGCTGCCCAGCAGCTGGAGGCCGGCAGCGGGCCGTGGCGGGGGGTGCGGGCTGGGCCCCCGGCCAGTGCAGAGGGGACACGGCGGCGGCCCCCAGGCCACCCTGTGCTTGGCTCGTCCCGCTGCTCCCTCCGTTAGCCTGGGCCGTGTGCACGGTGCAGGGGGGACGAGGCAGGGCTGAGGGCTGACCGCGGCAGAGCCCACTGGTGGGGCCCGCCGTGGCAGCCCGAGCATCTGGAGCCAGCAGGCCCGGCCACCCTCCACCTTGACCTCAGGGCTGCGGACAGCCTGGCGGCCTCCGTCTCCCCCTCGGACTGGGGCCACTGCAGGGGAGGAGGCGCGCTCCTAAACCACAGAAGGCGGCTCGGGCCTTGACTTAACGCACGGGGTAAGTTCCAGAAAAGGCTGCCTGGAGTGCCGGAGAGGTCGGACCTGGGCGTGACCTCGGGCCCCCCCAAGACAGAGGAGGGGGCTGGGGCGCTGAGAACCTCCCAGGACCTCAGGCCGGGGCGGGCACAGAAGCTGCGGCCGGAGACGCGTGCACACGCGCACAGCCCCTGCGTGTCCCTCGCTTCCCGCTGGGCGCCCGGGCCGCGAGGCCCGCCCGAGGGCACAGCGGGGCTCCCGGCGCAGGTGGCCTCTGAGGCAGAAGTGGGGGGTGGCGTGGGGTGGCCTCCGCCGCCTGCCCCCGGGCGCTGGGGCTCGCTGTCTCGGGGCTCTGAGCCGGGCTGGCTTGGTCTGGTGGGACGGGGACCCAGCCCAGGCAGCCCCAGCGAGGCCGCGGGCCCAGCCCTGGACACGGGCGCCCGGGCCGCAGCTGCTCGTGGGGCAGCAGAGTGCCCGCCCGCCGTCGTGTGTTCTGCAGGTGCTTCTTGAGGTCTAATCTGCCGTGAGTTCATCTGTCGCCGCGGTAGAGTTCTGTGATTTTTAGTAAATTTGTAGGCTCGTGTAACCATGCACCGTCCAGTGCAGGCCATTTCACACGCACGCACGCAGCGCTGGGAACCCTGCAGAACGCCTTCCCTCTGTAATCCGGCTTCTCTGGACGTTCTGTGCACACCGAGTCAGTCCAGCTGCTTCCCCTCAACGTCCCGCTAGTGAGGTCTAGCCCTTCTGCACCACGAATCCCTTGTTCCTTTCTATTGTTTTTAGTGTAAACCACGCCTCGTGTATCCGCTCACCGCTTCATGGACACTGGAGCTGACCGCAGGCCTAGCCATCGTGAGCAGCGCTGCCTGAGCTTCGCGGGCGTCCATGTCTGCAGACACACGGTGTCATTTCTCTTGGGGACGCTCCTGGGTCGCATGAACCTGTGACTTTACGAAACTGCCAAGCCGTTTGTCCCACTGTAACACCATTTCCCGGTCCCCCAAGCAACCAACGTGCAGGGACCCCAGACTCTGCGTCCTCGACAACACTCGGCGCCGTCTGTCTTTTTCTTGTAGCTTCGCTCGACGGTGCCGTGCGCTGTCTCCCCGCGGTTTTACTCTGCATTTTCCCCACTGGCTCATGGAGAGGGACAGCTTTTCATGGGCTTACTCATCATTCATAGGCCTCTCTTCGTGAAATAGCCACTCAAACCTTTGGCACATTTTAAAGATGTGGATGGCTTCTTATTTTTGAATCATAAGAGCTCTTTGTATAATCTGGACAAAATTCCTGTTTGTACGCAACTTGTGTCTTTCAGAGGCATTAAGAAAAGAGGAAGATATACTTACCGTGCCTTTGGTGTTAGTACTCGGCTCGACCATTTCTGGTGCTGCGATTCTTCCCACAGACCCTCAGCACTGCCGAGTCTCTTGCTTTCAGCTCACAGGACCTCCTCTGGTGTTTCTGGGAAGACAGGTCTGGTAGAAGCATGTTCTTGAACTTT